AAAACTTGTCCAGTCAGGTCTTACCTAAAATCGAAAGAAAAATATAACGGATTATTAAGCTGTATATTTCATGAAGTAACTGTCCAGTTTAGGACCCTTATTTTTACTTTGTGACATTATTTTCATGATAATTAAGCACATTTCACTCTTTTGCACTTCACTTTTTTCATTCTTATGATCGAAATGCCTTTTCATGTACATTTATTTATTTAGTAGAAACTTTTATCTAAAGTAACTTACAAATGAGGAATATAACAAGCGATTGACAGAAACTATCAAGAAATGCATACAGATGTTTCAATTTTTCAGTGCTTTCGTAATTGCTATTAAAGGTAATTGAATATAATTTTAACTGTCCTACACTAAATATGTAATCAAATCAAATAATATTTTTTTTATTTACAAGATGAACAAGAATTTTATTAGTTTTCAGTGGCTTGCGGTGACCAACATTAGCGCGTTGATGTTTCCATCAAGTTCATACAAGTTTAACTTGATGCAAATTAGAAGTTTGGATAAGTTCAAGATGTTATTGCATATATGATTCGGCTTTGAGCATGTACAAGGTAGACATTGATCAGCTTGTGTACTTGCATTTGCAGCACATGCAGCCTCAGTGTGTGTGTGTGTGTGTGTGTGTGTGTGTAAACTGAGCAGGCGTTCATGTTTACAGTTTGTCTCTCCCGGCTTTCTCCGTGGCTGTTTGTTCCCGTCACTCTCCGAAGGTCACTGATGTCATGACTGCTGGATCTAATCACGGGTCACACAAGTTCAGTCCACATTCTGCCTGTCTCAGTGTCACTGACACCACAGCTGAGCTTTCCTTACGCACACATACACACACGCTCACTCACAACATGTTGCAGGACAAATAAATTTGTGGCCATGAATTTCTCTAAATACACCTTATTTAAATTTTGATGGATTATTTGGAGCAGTGTTTTAGCATGTCTTTTTTTTTCTTGTGATATTATTTTCATAACAATTTAGTATATTTCACTCCAACTTACGATTTTAATGAATACAGATCAAGTGCCCCTATTATGCTTTTTTGATAGCCTCTGGAGCTGAAATTCAGATATCCTAATGGACTTTTCGTTTTTGACGCATGCTTTAAGCGGTAGACCAATCACAACAAACTGGGCCATCTGACCAATCAGAGCAGAGTAGACCCAAGGAAAGGAAAGGAAAGGAAAGGTTTAGATAGACCGAATTCTTGATCAAACCCTTTCAGACACTGTGAAAAGTGGTTATGCTGAAATGTATATCATGAGAAAATTAAGTGTTTTTTGTGCTTGGTTGCACGTAAACCTACTGTAGGAGACTCCAAAACAATTAGGAACCTTTAAAGGGGCACTTTAGCACTCACAGTGTGTGCTATTCCTGATATTCCTGGTGCTATTCATGATCCAAATACTCAAACTTCTCTAACTTTTTTTTTCTGTAATACAGGCTGTACAAGAAATATGTAATATTGTTAAAATACTTTTTTTGCTTTCTCCTTTTTCCAATAAGATGTTTTCTTTTTCGTTGAAGTAAATTTCGGAGCTAAATGAGCTTATTTGTTATTAAACTAATATTTTAATATTTTTCTTTATTGATTTGGGGTGAATACAACCCTGATGCATTTTCACAGGTTTTTAGTGAGCCCCATCCCAACAGGCTCTTACATTAAGAGACGGTTGGGAAATATAATTATATAAATTATGCAAAATATATATTTTTATGATTTATTTAGATTTTGGTGTGAAATATGACCCAGATTTGTTCTTAGATTGGCCCGATAAGGCCAGCTCAGCTCTTGGTTTGCCATGTTATTCATGTGTTCCCAGATCTGGAAAGTTCCCAGTGGGAATTCAACCCTGTGCACTTGTGGTCGGTCGCTCAGAGTCCATGCACCGCTATCATCTGCCGTCTCATGTGACCCAGTCACAGCATCGCTCATGCGCCGGCCATACCGGGAAGGTTTATCCAGTATTATGTAACAGTTAATGACTCTGTTTATTTTAGCCAGCGAGTGTCGCAGATGTCACAGCCTCACAGGCGGTTTAACAGCGTTCCCAGTGACATTCACAGATCTGATACGCATCTCTGCAGATCGCTCAGCGAGATGGTGTTAACATTACAGGAATACTCTGAAAAATACAGAATTCGTCTCATTAGAACCCATTTTAAATATAAATATTATTTATGAAGTATGTGGTAAAAATGTAATTTCTCTTTCAAAACTGTAATGGAGTTTTCAGATTTGTTTCATTCAAGTATTAACTTGGTCTGAGATGTTTTTAATATTCATTATGGGAAATAAAAACAGTCCCAATTTTTACAGTAAGAGTATAGAACTATAAAATTAATTATTGAAATCAATTTATGAGAAATGTTGGAGTTGATATAATGTAGGCAACATTAATTTGCACACTTCACCTTTAAGAGTTTAGGACATGCATATAAACGTCACTTACCTGATAGTGTGAGCTTATACGCAGCTCGTATAACATTACGACCCTGTATTTGTGTCGGATCACTTCTGTTTGATGTATGATGTTTATTCTCCTTGGGTATTCCCAACCACTGATGAACTCTAGTCATATTAGCATAAGATGATCATTTCCAGTTAGACTACTAAGATCTCTGTTTGCTGAATATGCAAACTCTCAGATACTCAAGCATTGATATGTTGACATTCATGTGGTCACTAGGGTGTTGTGGGTGGTTGCTGGGGTGTTATGTAGTATTTAGGGTTCTATGGGTGGTTGCCAGGGTGTTATGTAGTCGTTTGGATGCTATGGGTGATTGCTGGGGTGTTATGTAGTCATTAGGGTGCTATGAGTGGTTTCTGGGGTGTTATGGTGTTGTTAGAGTGTTGTGAGTGGTTGCCGGCGTGTGATGTGGTCGTTAGGGTGTTGTGAGTGGTTTCCGGGGTGTTATGATGTGATCGTTAGGGTTTTGTGGGTGGTTCCCAGGGTGTTATGTGGTCGTTAGGGTGTTGTGAGTGATTGCCGGCGTGTGATGTGGTCGTTAGGGTGTTGTGAGTGGTTTCCGGGGTGTTATGATGTGATCGTTAGGGTTTTGTGGGTGGTTCCCAGGGTGTTATGTGGTCGTTAGAGTGTTGTGAGTGGTTGCTGGCGTGTGATGTGGTCGTTAAGGTGTTGTGAGTGGTTTCCGGGGTGTTATGATGTGGTCGTTAGGGTTTTGTGGGTGGTTCCCAGGGTGTTATGTGGTCGTTAGGGTGTTGTGAGTGGTTTCCGGGGTGTTATGATGTGATCGTTAGGGTTTTGTGGGTGGTTCCCAGGGTGTTATGTGGTCGTTAGAGTGTTGTGAGTGGTTGCTGGCGTGTGATGTGGTCGTTAAGGTGTTGTGAGTGGTTTCCGGGGTGTTATGATGTGGTCGTTAGGGTTTTGTGGGTGGTTCCCAGGGTGTTATGTGGTCGTTAGGGTGCTATTGGTGGTTGCCGGGGTGTTATGTGGTTGTTAGGGTGTTGTGAGTGGTTTCCGGGGTGTTATTTGATCGTTAGGGTGTTGCGAGTGGTTTCTGGGGTATTATGTGGTCGTTAGGGTTTTGTGGGTGGTTCCCAGGGTGTTACGTGGTCGTTAGGGTGCTATGAGTGGTTGCCGGGGTGTTATGTGGTTGTTTGGGTTTTGTGGGTGGTTGCCAGGGTGTTATGTGGTCGTTAGGGTGCTGTAGGTGGTTGCCGGCGTGTGATGTGGTCGTTAGGGTGTTGTGAGTGGTTGCCAGGGTGTTATGTGGTCATTAGGGAGTTGTGAGTGGTTTCCGGGGTGTAATGATGTGGTCGTTAGGGTTTTGTGGGTGTTTGCCAGAGTGTTACGTGGTCGTTAGGGTGCTCTGGGTGGTTGCCGGGGTGTTATGTGGTCATTAGGGTGTTGTGAGTGGTTGCCGGGGACGGGGTGTTAGTATGTGGTCGTTAGGGTGTTGTGAGTGGTTGCCGGGGACGGGGTGTTAGTATGTGGTCGTTAGGGTGTTGTGAGTGGTTGCCGGGGTGTAATTTATTCTGAACCTAAAAGTACCACAGCCTGAACATAGCTCAAACTTTAGCACTATTCCTTCAGGTTATGCAAATCTAGTTTAGATTCATATAAAGCACAGTCACATGTCAATATTCAGCTGTGTGAATGAGGGCTTTCAGGCTGTAAAGTGTAAGTGTTTATATGTAAATCCTCATGATCCCATGTGAAGGGCCACAGGTGCGTGTTCACCTCAGTCTGCCAACAAACACTACATTAGTAAACATTAACTCTTATTTTTGCTTCAGTTTTCAGCCTCAAATCAAACTTGATCTTATTTACTTCATTATGTTCCACGTCTGATTGTGAATAATTCATCAGTGCATGTAACTAAAAAGTTTGATAATCTGTCATCACAAACTCTTTTCACCATCCAATTAATGCATTTTTGCTCATTTAATATCTCATTTCATGCTGAAATACATCCCATAACAGATGTGAAATCGTTTGTGAGTTTTTGATTTGGACCCTGTGCAGTTTTTCTGCATGTAAACGGCAGGACCGAGTCAGTGGTCAGAAACATTGGTCTTCAGCGCCACCTTCTGCTCATTTATAAAAGATACTTTGACTCCCACATGTTGGGCCTGATTCATGAAACACAAGTTCAATTCTGGGTAAATTGTTGTCTTTAATTCAAAGTATTTCAGGTGTCATGAATGATACACAGAAATTTCATGAAAATTATTAGATATAACAGTAACAGTCATTGATCTGACGTGTTTATGCAGCACGACTTGCATTTATTTGCAGTTTCAATTCGGCAACCTGAAGTGAAGTGTCTCACTGTTGACATCTCTTCAGGGTTAAAGTGCGTGTGTGTTATATTTTCCTTTTCCAGTTATCAAATAAAACTGAAAAGGTCAATGCAGTTCGTTGGCCACAAACTATGCTAATCCTCCTGATTTATGAATTATAATCTTTCTGAGTTTGATTACACTAAGAGACCCTGTCTGAGCGTTCCTCTTTGTCTTTTCTCAGAGGACGTCCTGTCGAAGGACGCAGGGGAATGTGCAATATGTCTGGAGGATCTGGTCCAGGGAGACACCATCGCTCGCCTGCCCTGCCTCTGCATCTATCACAAAGGGTAAAGTGTGTGAGTGTGTGTGTGAGAGAGTGATGTGAATTTATTTTCTATTATAATAACACTGCTTTCTTTCAGCTGTATTGATGAGTGGTTTGAAGTGAACCGATCGTGTCCTGAACATCCTTCAGATTAAAAGCGTCACGCTCACCTTTGCACAGGTAACACACATTCACGTCCTAAATCAAGTGAACTCATGTTTAGATCAATAATAGTCAGAGAGACTTATTTACATGATGGCATTTAAATGCAGTTTATAAAAAATAAATGTCCCTTGTCGTATTGCACATTTATATCATTTCACATGTATGTTATATGCTATTAAAAAATTGCATGAGTAATTTTATGTCATGGTAAAATTATTTCATTATTAACTGATTATTTATGAATCTGAAATCGGTGTAAAAACAGAAATATACATTACTTTAGAGTTCTAGAAAACTAAAGACTAGCTAAAACAGTTTCATGTTGTTTTCAACTGCATGCAGTTATTAATATTATAATAAGGCACGTAAATAAGCTTATTTATTGATATTTCGATATGATATTTCTCATAAATAAGCTGATACTTATTTATGAGAGGTAGTAACACACTCCAGGTGAATAGTGTAATAATAAAAAAAAAACATGGATATCACAGCTGATTAATTACATTAAGACATTTTTGTTATTAATTTTGTTATGAATTTTTGTTATTAAAATTTTGATGTTACGTTTGAGAATACAAATGAGGCATTATATAATTAAATATACACTAATTTGTGTACATTTCTAGAATATATAATATATATAATAAATATATATAATTTTTTTTTTAAGGTGACGAAAGTACATTGTACTTACTCAAGTACCTATCATAGAGTTACAGTTAATGTTAGTTACTTGTAATTATCCATAATTTACTGTTATTGCTATAGTAAGTACTGTACATGTAGAAAAGTGTAATTGTCACCTTAAAATAAAGTGTTACCCAAATGCAACGTGTTTTTTTACTTGGATATCACTTTTTTTCCCAGTAAATCAATCAGAAAATACTGTCTAGAGACATAAAACATACATTTTCACCATGTTTTTAGGAATAAAATGTTAAAATAAATAAGGCGAATGATATAACAAACCTCTTTGTAAAACCCTTCAGAAAATAGATATGAATAAAACTATAAAGTTTGGTGTAAAACTGCTGAAGTGAAGATTTCTGACTCACCACCTGGAAAAATATGTATTGTCATTGTAATCTACAGAGACAAAATTTATAAAGTGCAATAAAATAAACACTTAAATGTGTATTTTGACTTTTTTCCCCCCACTAGTCTGAAAGAAGACGCGTGATGGAAGCAAAATGGCTCAAAATCTCAAAAATTGACCAGTTTGTAAAAAAACCACTGGTCTCACCTTAAAGCATTAAAACACTCTTTAATTGTTTGTGTTGTGTTTCATGTCTCTAGCCTCCTGGTCGTGAGAAGTGACGTGTCCCACTAGCGGACAGCAATGTGAATTCTCTTCCTCCTCACAGACACTGTGACTTTGGTCTCTTCAGGCCGAGCAGGACGGCCTGATCACTCGTCTTGTAGCATGGCTCTCTCTAGTCGCCATACAAACCCTAGCGTGCCAAAACTCATTCAGGGAAACTCTTTCCAACATCACAGACCTATGAAAACCACAATAGAGGATGAGACCCCTCCATTGCACTGTTTTCCAATCAGAAACTTGTGAAGAAGGCTGATCTAGCAAAAGGCTGTTTCACGTTCTTTGATTGGCCGGACTCAGGGTCAGCTGACTCTTATGTCGTTGATTATTGGACGATCGGGGGATTTGATTGTTCTGCAAAACTTTCTGGTAAACGGGACTGTCTCTCTCAGTGCCTTAATTTTCAGATCTCAAGGGCCGAAGTGGCTGCGTTTCGGATGTTCGGAGAAAGACACCTGGATATGACGGACACGTGACCCCTGATTCAGGTCAAACTGAGTCTTTCATTTCCATTGGAGCCGTTTTCTCTCTCGATTCCCAGATGTACGTCTCGAGTCTCGTAGCAATATCTATCGGATAAAGATTCACTGTAGCCTCTCACATGGTTCTCCATGATCTCTGAACATCTCAAGATACCTTACGCAGGTGCATCATATGAACATTCAACGTTTCTGGGCCTTAATTCAACACATTATTTTGGGTGAATCTCATAAAAACATGTCCAGGTCAAAATCAGAAGAAGAAAAAAATCTAAATTATATTTTGCATAATGAAAAGTCTGTTTTATGAGAATATTAAAGTAGCTATTTTGATTAAAATCAGAATAAATAAAGGTGGCGCAGAAAATACTACCATGATGATATCATAATTATCAATATATTAATTATGATATTATTGAATTTTATGTATCGAGAAATCAGGGTGAGGTTAAATATGAAATCATAAGGTCATAAAATCTCCTTTTTCTTTAAGCAAAATATAAATTTGTGATGAAAAATGACATTTCTTGACAGGTTTGGTGAGATTCACTCTTCAGCTACAGTATGACGTCACGCTTGCTCATTGTACATGCGTCAAATCATATGATCATCCGTTTTATATGAGAAATGCCAAATGAGTGAATCTCACAAAATCTCCAGGTCATATTTCACCAAGTAATTTTCAAGCTTAATATTATTCACATTTCAACACATTTTCATGACAGTTATACATATTTTCACCCCTTCAGTACAAGTATTTATACATTCATTGTAATGCTGATTTACATTTTAAAAGTCGTTGTATTCCCGTAATAACTCGTATGCTCTGCATTACAGAACTGATTGAAAATGTGCTTATGAAAATAATGTGACATGTTAATGGCTTTGATTATGTGTGTTGAAATGTGACCTGAGATTGTGCTGAATAATTCTGTCTTTAATTCACCTGTAGCTGCTGGAACAAGCTTCATGTCTTTTGTTATCTCAATCGCAGTTCATATAGTTTGATCTAAATTGTAGAGTCTGAACGGCATGTGTGTGATTTTTATATCATTTAAACAGTCACATTTCAGTTGAAGATCCACATATTTGGGAGAAAGGTGGTCGTCCTCCAGTAGGCTTTGACAGCTTCAAACAAATGCACTAACTCGTTTTTGTAAAGTTACTAATCTGAGATTCTACAAGGGATTTTTTTTTTATTATAGCTTTACATTCATTCTGTTTTTACCAGTCTCACGTAAAGCCTTGTGTGGTTGGGTTTAGATGAGGTGTTCGTTCTGGTGTTGAATTTGCCTGGTGGACTTGTCATGGCCCATTGAAGCTGAATTGGAAAGAATTTTCACTGCAAAAAAGAAAAAAGTATTTTCTTCCTCATTATTTTTGTCTCGTTTTACAGGACAAATATCATTCTTAAATTGACAAACATTTACTTGAAATGCACAAATTACTTAACATATTGTTTTATGGCAATTATTTCAAAATTAGTTTATGCTTTAAAAAATCAACTCAATTCACAAGAAAAACAAGATTATTTTTCTTAGCCCACTGGCAGATGTTTATGGAAGCTTGTTCCTGCTACTGAATAAAAAAAAAATAATAATAATAATTGTGACTTTTTATATCACAGTTATGTGATATTAAGTCAGAATTGCATGTTATAAAGTCACGAGTTGCGAGATATAAAGTCAGAATTGCGAGTCGCAATTCTGAGAAAAAAAGACAGAAGTGCGACTTTTTATCTCACAATTCTGACTTTTTTTCTCACAATTGCGAGTTTACATCTCACAATTCTGACTTTATAACACATAATTAAGAGTTTATATGTCGAAATTCTGACATCTTTTCTCAGAATTGTGAGATATAAACTCGCAATTGTGACTTATCAGGCCAATACTTAATTTTTTCCCCCTCAGAATAGTTTATATCTCACAATTCTGACTTTATATCACACAATTGCGACTTTATATCTAGCAATTTGGACTTTATAACACGCAATTGCAACTTTATATCACACAATTGCGACTTTATTTCTAGCAATTTGGACTGTATATCACGCAATTCTGACTTTATATCTCGCAATTGCGACTTTATATCACGCAATTCTGAATTTATATCTCGCAATTCTGACTTTATATCTCACAATTGTGAGAAATAAAGTCAGAATTGTGAGATAAAAAGTCGCAATTACCTCTTATATTTTTCATTCTATGGCGGAAACAAGCTTCCATAGATATTTGTTCTTGTTTTGAGCATAAACTCGCTTGTTTTTTTTTAGGAAAGCAAAATGTATATAAATTAGATATTTGCTTGATATTTTACTAAAAATACTGAGGAAGAACATGTTTTTTTCACAGTGTCAGAGTATTACTATAGTACAGCCCGGCATATCGAAGGTGCCATAATAGCTTTAAAATGCTGCTAATCATGTATGTTGAGGGTGATGCGAACCGGTTTCAGTGCGAATCCAAGCCAGGTTCATTGTAGTCACACCAGCACAGCTGGAAGATGCCGTTTTTGGTTTTCTCAGAGGATAGATGACATCATTGCACATGGGAAACACCACTATTTTTAAAAAGCCTTACCAGACCACTTGCAAAACACCTTTTATGACATATCATTTAAGTAAATAATAAATTCACATTTCTAATTTTGATGTTCTTTCATATTTTTGCTGCTTTGTGCAAATGTCTGTTTCCAGCAGATCTGAGCCCTGATACATCCGACTGGATCTTTTGATATAGAAGATGGAGTGTCTTTTCTGTTTGTATGTTTAATGTGCTACCAAACTCCATCAGGTAAAAGATCTATCTAATCTAGATTCATCCTTACAGCAATTTAGAGGAACCTGATGCAAAGCAAACAAGCTTGTGTTTGTATGTTAACAGTGACCACCCAGGTGATCATAAAGGTTTTTTGTTTTGTTTTTAATGATTTAGAGATATTGTAACATTCCATACATGTAAAAAGAAAAAAAACTGTACAGAGATAATGAAATTAAAAAAGCAAACTCTTTGAAGCACAGATCTTTAAATATATTCGTCTGGACGTCTTTCTGTGTGCGTGTGTGAAATAGAGCGTGGTGATATTTTTACTTGCCAGGTTTTTAATCATCTAATCGACTAAAATGATTAATAATGATTTCTCTGAACTGAAAAAGCACCATTACAAGTGCACAAGTGTCACCCTTTTCAGAGCAAACTCATAAATATATACATATATAAACTGACATTCATGATTTTCCTCTATATAGTATATCCCATCCTTGATGTGATTTCTTGAGTTCTGGCTTTAGTGTCAAACTCATGACAGCATCTGTATTTCTTGAATCAGTGTTTGCTTCGCAGCCGATGGTACTTCTGTTATTGAAGTAAACCAACGTTTGTGGCTTTATGCCAACTTCCTCCTTTTCTCAGTCTTTTCTCATGTCACGTGTTTTACTTTTCTTCTTAGCGGAAGCGAAGCCTCTTGTCGCCCTCAAACAGTTGTTCTTCTTCTTCAGAAACACAGTTTCCTTTAATGCTGTGAACAAATCAGAAAATGTGCAAATGTGTGAAACTGGAAGACATCGTCATGTGCCGTGATCTCCCCTTATGAAGGAAAACTAGGGCTCTGATCCGAGATCTAGTGAGCTGCCTACATAGACACCTTTTAAGTGTGTGATTTGGTACACACTACACTCCCAAAAAAATTACAAAGGGGGATTTTCTTAGCATGAAGAACATTTTCATAAAATAAAGAATTTCCACTTTAAAGAACCTTTAGCGTAATGGAAAGGTTCTGTGGATTTCACAGAACCATTGATAAAAACTAAGAACTTTTATTTTTAAGAGTGTACGTAGTACATAATAGATTAAACATTTAATTGAGTTTGCATGTTGCCAAGTCAATGCAATAAAATACACTACTCAAATACTAATACTGGGTTAAAAAATAAAAAGTCTATTTTATCAGTACTTTTCAGTTTTGACATTTCACCCGACCATCATTAAAGGAGTAGTTCACTTTTGAAAAAACTTTTGCTGATAATTTACTCACCCCCATGTCATCCAAGATGTCCATGTCTTTCTTTCTTTCGTCAGTCGAAAAGAAATTTAGGTTTTTGATGAAAACATTCCAGGATTTTTCTCCATATAATGGACTTCAATGGGAACCAAACGGTTCAAGGTCCAAAAGACCGTTTCAGTACAAATTGCAAACTGTTCAAAGGGCTTTAAACGATTCCAGACGATGAATAAGGGTCTTATCAAGTGAAACGATCGCTCATTTAATAAATAAATAACAAAGTTTATGTTTTATAAGCTCAAATGCTCGCCTTGCTCTGTTCTGTGATGCACGTTCGTGACTCTCCTGTTCGAACTCGTTCATCAAAATGAACAAATCTTTTTCCGAGTCATTTGGTTCATTCAATGAAAAAGATTCATTCATTTTGATAAACAATCCTGGAATGTTTTCATCAAAAACCTTAATTTCTTTTCGACTGAAGAAACAAAGACATGGCCATCTTGGATGACATGGGGGTGAGTAAATTATCAGCAAATTTTTTTTCAAAAGTGAACTACTCCTTTAATAGAGCATTAATGGCACTCATGCAATGCTTTTTAAAATTTGACTTAACCATGGTGTCTTTACAGGCAGACTAGTCTTTTATTACAACTGTTATGTTAACGCAAATTCTGTAGGTTTCAGAGATCTTACTTGACTTCCTTCAGTGTAGTGTTGTTTGTCAAGCCTTCGGACAGCTGTTTGGCTCCGTGAATGGTCAACTCGTTTTCCATTAGCCTGTAGAGAGTCGAATAGATTATTCAATCTGTCAGAGCAAATATTGTGCTCACGGAGACCTCAGGTTTACTACTTGGCATAAAGTCTACATGTATTATATGTTGATTAGCATATTAGATTCTGTTGAGCAAAGTCAGTGCTGTAAATGTAAAATTAGATGCAGAAATGACCACTTACATGTTGCATATGTGAAACAGCTGTAAATACATTAACAGTGAAACAGTTTGAAAGATATTACTGTGATATAATCGATCGTACATCAGATGTGTTAGAGCAGAGTTGGACTTGAATGCATCGGCAATGTCTGACGCTGCATCGTCCGAGATTTTGTTCTGTATCAGCCTGAGAAATGAGCACATTTTGTGAGAATGCATCTGGGAACAATCATCAAAAAGAGTATTATTTTACATGCATGAGAAAATATGACGTTCTGTTGTACCAGAAGATGTGAAGGCTTGTGTTTTGCTTCAGTGCTTTTGCCAGACTTCTTCCACCGAAAGAAGTAATGCCATTGGCGGAGAGACTAAACAGCAATGCAATAATCATTCTCCGATGTCTGGTTTTTAATTTGACTGATAAATTGATCAGAATGGAGACATAAGAGTCATCTTATACCTGAGATTGGTCAGGCTGGGGTGATTCTTCAGAGCCTCTGCAAACGCGTCTGCCCCCTCGTCACCGATCGAGTTACCCCACATTCTACAACCAATTCATTTTAACAATTTTAATATCACCACTTACACCATATTTTTTGGATAATCTGTAAAACTTTGATGGTATAGCAGAATCATTTTAAAGTAGGGGTTTAATTGTTCCCTTAGATATTCTCACCCTATGTCAAAGATAGATTTGCTCTTGTGAATTGCACTGGCAAGGTATTTCCCACCCACACCGGTGATGTTGTTGCAGCCGAGCCTAAATGGGAAATAAATGTGCGTGACTTCTATATACCCAGTTAGCATTTGGACGTTGTGAAAGTCGTTTCTAAAGTGTGTATCATCTAAAAACATTGCAATCCATTTATAATCATATCAAAAATGAAGGGGACACAATGCACGCCAGAGTAAGGATATCTAAGGTGCAGACTCCAAAAAATGCTAATCAAAACAAGGCAAAAATTCACACATTTGTTAAATGGTTAAAAAGTCGAAACGTTAACAATCATGGTCTATCAAATAACTTTTCGGTGCAATCTATTTTTAATGACATACACTGCCTTTCAAAAGTTTGTTTTCCTTTGTTTTTAAAAGAAGTCACAGCATTTTGTTAACCCTCAAACCGTGGGAAAAATAGTTTTAATTTATTTTTAAAAAATACTTCCCTTGATCTGAGCGGTACAAGACTTAGCTACTTTTCCTAAGTTTTCATCTTTAGGTTTTAGCTCTAAGAACTTATTGGAATGATGTTTTATGTAGTTAAAAAAATAAATAAAAATAAAATAAGCATAATTTACATTGAAAATAAGGTACTTTTTGAAGTAAATAAATTCAATAATACCCCCAAAATAAAAAATAAAAAACACCGTAAATGGATAGACAAAACTTTATCGAAGACAGTGACATAACATTTATAATAAATAAAAATTAGAATCACACCTGAGTCCTCTGTGCCCACATTTGTCCACAATTACAGGATTAAGGGCAATAAAGTGAATACGGTTTGAGGACTAATCAACATTACAGTAAAAACAGTAATATTGTCAAATATGATCACAATTGAAAATTGCTGTTTTCTATGTGAATATATTTTAAACTAATTAATTCCTGTGATCAAAGCTGTATTTTCAGTCTTCGGTGTCACATGACCCTTCAGAAATCATGCTGATTTGGTGCTCAAAAAAAACATTTTGTATCATTATTAATGTTGAAAACAGTTGTGCTACTTTACATTTCTGTGGGAACCATGATACCCCAAACGTTTGAATGATTATGTGATTGGTTAATGTATTTAATTCATCAATAATGTATCGAAAGTGGCAGTAAATACTTAAATAATGTTCATAATGATTCAAAGGAATATTTTTTTTCATAATTGAGCACCAAATCAGCATTTTAGAATGATTCCTGAATGATCATGTGACACGTACTTGCGCTATCAGGGTGTGTTTCTGTAATACCTACTTGACAATCTTTAAGTGTGGACATTCTTCAATGATCTTTGCTACTAGTTTGGCTCCAACATCCGTAATGTGGTTTTTGTAAAGGCTGTAAATGCAGAGAACGGTAGAATGAGGCCTAAACAAAACTCAAACAACAAAAACAAAGATGGACGGACGAACTCACCCCAAGACCTTAATGATTTTGTGTCTGACGAGTTCCTCTGCCAGAACCTCAATACTGCTGTCTGTGAGCTGATTCACACAAAATCTGAAAGGTAAGAACGTCATTTGTCGTTCTAGTTCTTCATACTGTATAAGCGCTAAACCCTGCCTGGCTTTTCTTACCTTACCACCGTCATTTTGCTGAAAGAGGGCCTCAGCTGCTTCACACCATAATCATTGATGTTATTGTTGTCCATGTCGACTCCCAGGTGCTTCTTACGGTGGTGGAGGACGAAGTTCAACGCGCTGCAGTCGGCCGAGTAAATGTTACAGAAGGCGATCTTAATGTAATCTGCCGATATGCTGTTGGCCGTCATCTTGGCCACATTATCGCTGTTCGTCTCAAAAATGCACCGCAGCATCCACAAGAAATTTGGCATCGCGTGCACCTTGTAGCCATCAATGTCTGTAGACGGATACCGAGGGAGGCCCTTAAGATGAGTCCGCACGCTGTTGGACAGGTAGGACTTGAGCATCTTGCGCTTTTGGTTCAATGACGCCGGTGGGACGATATGCTCTAGGAGTGCAGCATTGGGTTTGGACAAGAGACCACATAAAAATAAGTTGGTGAATTGGAAGTTGGTCTGGAAAGGGTCTTTATCTCTGGGTCTGGACTTTCCCAGACAAGGCAAGCATGAGAGATGAGACTTCTTCTTGTATTCGCATTTGGAGAAGAACCTCAGAATGGATTCAGGAGAGATTTTGGAGTCCAGCACCAGAGAAAAAGCAGCTAAGAAGGCTTGGAGGGTCTCATGGAGGAACTCAAAGGTAGCAGAGCCTCCGCATGCATCGTAATGTGAGGCAGGCCTCAGAAAGCCAAACTGAAGGTCTTCGTCGTCCAATCCACAGGATGTCACCTCCTCTATACTGAAGACAAGTCCACCCCTTTCTAAACCCTGTAAGGCTAGCCGAGCGAAGGCCGAAAGCTTCTGCTCGCCAGCTTTAAAGGTATCTGTGGGACACCTCGGGCTTCGTTTCAAAAGACCGGGCCGAGCAGTTGAGTGGCCAAGAAACACCTCAGAAAGGAGCAAGAAGACATTCGTGAGGGTGATGCAAGAGTCCGGCAATTCAAAGTTCTCATAAACCGAGTGAAGATGCTTGAAGCTCTTGAGGATGATCCAGCTGAACAACGGGATGGAGCAAAGACCGCAGAGGTGAGGGTTGGCGTCCAGCTGATCCGTCACCAATGTCCTGTGTTCCTTCTCTGGGAAATGGAGAGCTGTATATCTCTTCAGGTGTTCAGGTGAAAATCCCTTCAAGTACACCTTCTTCCGGATTACTCTGCTTTGGATCTCGGTGCCGCTTCGCGCCGACAGAATCTTCCGAGAACCTTTGAGCAATTTTCCGCAAAGCAAATTCATGAGAAGCAGAAGCGGACGAGTCTTTTCTTCCGGAGAGACCACTTCGGGCACATTATCCAAGTCCGAATCCATTTGGATTTCGTCGTATCCGTCAAAGGTGAAAACCACCGTCTCTGGGAATCGTAAGATGTAAGTGAAAACCTCATTATCAAGGTCTCCGTCTGGATAGCAGTTGTGTTTGAAAATCAGATCCTTCAGCGAGATCTCGTCCGTCTCCTTGAAGGCGCTGAACATCCTGCATCTGAACTTGAAGAAGAACTTTGCACGCGTCTTCAGCTTCCTTTGTGACCACAAGTTCTGCAGTTTCTGAAGGACAATGGATTTGCCTACGCCAGCGTCACCGGTGATGAAGATCGTCTCGGCCTGCTGGTTGAAGACACCCTGGTCTCCAAGTAGCTCTTCCAGACTCTGCAAGTATCCCAAGCTCTCGCCTCTGTCGTTGAGGAGCTCCATCTGTGTGTCCGTGTAGAGATCCTCCAGCGGTGTCTCCTCGCTTTTAGAGTAGGACGTGATGAACTGAGTGTCCCTTCCCAGCTCACACCTGAGCTTCTCACAGTACTTGCTAACTGCAAAGATGCAGAAAACGTTAATAAATTTGAGTGCATGAATGCAAATATTTGAAATGGGGAAAAAAACTCACTTGGGTCTGTGTTAATCACTGGTATGGCACTAATAGTGTCTAATGGCGTGTACTGGATATCATCAAACCAAGGCCGCAGATCAATGTACGCATCGTATGCTTCGTGAAGTATGTGCATGAAATATGCTGAGCACTCCTCTCCTTTACTCTGAACCAGCTCCAAAATTGCACGAACCTGCATGTCCAAAAAATAAGGTGAGTTGATCAGTAGTGAATTACTATAATAATATTGCTCAAGGCAAGTACAATTCATTAGTCATTGTCAGACATAATGCTTACATTTAATTTAATTAGTTGTTAATATCAAATAAATGTTTATATAACATAAAATGTTTGTCATAAAACTATCTGTAACTAAGGAAGCTGTTTTTAGAGGTGGGAAGAGTACTAAAAAATTAGACTTAAGTGACTTAAGAAGTAATTCCCTTGTGCAAGTAGAAAAACAATATGACAAAAAGAGTAACATATTACGTTCCAGGAAATCCCTAATATGGACAAAGGCATCCAGATTTTGCTACAGCTGAATAAAATCAAAGTCCCTTTAAGTTTGCTCACTTGGCCATGTTGCTGTTCATGTTGATTTTATTTAAGTAATTTGCTGAAATCATAAAATATCTCAGTGCCATTTTTTTTTTGTCTCAAGATTCAAACCAGTAATGTTTTTTTGTTTTTGTTTTTTATCTAAAGCACGTTTATAAAAGATACTCAAATGTCCTAACCTTAGTTTAACTGCATGTGTTTAATTAAACAGGGCGTCTCTTGATGGAAATGACATCACAACATTTATTTCCATCAAGAGGTGCATCAATTTTGTATTGACGATGCAATCCTCCAGCACATCCCAAAGAGCTTTAATGTCAAGGTTTAGACTCAGACATGTCAATTCATGTGTGAAAACGATTCCTAACGCTCGCTCACAACCATTTTCATAATTTGAGCCTAATGACTCATGACATTGTATTCATGGAGCTCGGCACAATTTAGTTATAATCAAAATTCAAGAGAATGAATAAAGTACTCAAGGTCTGTAAAGAAAGTACTTGTAACTACCTTTCAAGCTCTGTTTATTTCGTTATAAATATTGTAGGCCTACTGTTTTTGTACAACCCGATTGATTTATCGTTAATAGCGGTACTTTAATAACGTTTTAGTGTTGTAACGTTATACCTGGTCAGTTTTGGTGGTGCGGCGCTGTATAATCTCGATGTCTTCAGTGCAGATGAAGCCGTTGATCTGGAGATTGTCCAGAATACACTGCGTGTTCTTCACCTGCTCCACCAGCAGCTCGCGGTGTGAAGTCAGCAGATTCAGGTGAGACACCTTCTTGAAAGACCCCATTTTACAGCAGGACACTGTAGCTGGTTAGTTAATCAACACCCTAATAATAATCCAAACCAGTCTCTTTACAGACACGAGGGCAGGGTGTAACTGGACTGCTCCGTCATAGTCGGTCTGAACAAAATCAGCACGCGCTAAAACAGATTTTTACAGGTTCAAGAAGTCAATGACGCTATTGTATTGTAAAGAAGTTTAGCCATTTCAATATCCTCACTCAAAAGAAAACGGAAAATGAAAGAGGCCATCTGTTCAAACTTTAGAAACTTGCTTCGTGTAGTTAAACGGACTGAGCGGAATTTTGTTTACTTGGTTCCGCACCTTCAATGTTAACTAGGAAGTGAAACTAAAACCATGGCGAAATGAACATGAAATTTGACCCGGATTGGTGAATCCCACCCTGGATTCGCTCACTTCTGCTGTGTCAACCGTTTGAGTAATTTATGAGTTGTGTGGAGAGAGAGAGAGAAAGAAATCCCCCAGTCAACCATAATTCATAATTTTGCTGTTGCTGCTATTGTTGCTGGTAGGCTATTATTACACAGCCAACAAAAACGTTCTAGTCCCATCAAGTTATTAAACCGTTATTTCGAATGCTCAACGTTCTAATCATCTATGTCAAAAAACTTTGTTTTATTGTTGGATATGTGAACGTTCATTCCAATCGAACATTCCATTTTATCCTTTTGTAAACATTTACCTTTTGTAAAAAAAAAAAAAAAATGAATAAAATCTAGCATTTCGAGATTAAAGTCAAAATGTTTCGGCTTTGATGAAATGTGTAAACATTATACATATTATACATACGTGTATATCACATTATACAACATGTATATCAAACATATTTAGTTTATCGCCTAGCCTACTTCATTGAGTTTAAGTTGCAGATTTAAGTAAAAAAAAAAACATTTTAATCAAATGTATGGACATTTATTTAAATAATATTTTATTTATTTTAAGCAATTTATTTATTTAGTATAAGTTTAATCTTATTTTTATTTATTTGTTTTTACATTTTATACTGATTTTCTTATTTACATTTTATTTATTTTAATCAAATGTATTTAAGTATTTATTTTACTTTAAAAATTGTTTATTTTAATAAAAAAAAAAACTTTAGTTAGTTGGATTAATCTAATTTTTTTTTTTTTTCAACAAAATGTAATACTGCATTTTCTCTAAACTTTTTCTAAACTCTAAACTTGTGGCCCCCTATGGGTCCCGGGCCTCCAGTTTGAAAACCCCTGATCTAAACATTCTGAAACATAAAAAAAAAATGTTAGGTAGTAGGCTAAACATCCAACTGCACGTTTAAGGTAAAAACAAAAAAGTTCAATAATGTTATTGTGCTAACATTTTGAGAATATTAAGATAACCTTATATTAACCTGATATTACTGGAAGAACGATTGTTAAGAACTTTGCCACAACATTAGCTAAAGTTCTAAAAACATTCCCTGTTAGCTGGGAAATGTCATTTATATTCTTACAAAAATATACCATGGTAACAAGTTTCAACCAGTGTTGTCTACATTTAAAATCAGGATCGAAATAAGTATTTGTTAAGAATGTTTTTCAAATCCTTGACTGAACCTCACGATTGGTTGAATCAGATCTATTTTTTTTATTTTTTTTTTTGGCACATGACAATCAGAAGTGAAAAATAACACAACACAATGAATGCCGGCATGTAAATACTTTATGGAATTTCATTGTTTTGCAATGTGCTACCATACATTACGAACACTGCACATTTTTCTTGTCCTGCATTAACAACATAACTAACCTGTCTTTAAGCATTGTGATGTACACTCTGTAGACTACAGATAAGGGTGCACATAGACACCATTTATGAGGGTAAATCATCCGACAGAATCTCGTGTCCTTTCTTTGGATTTCTTCATAGCTTTCTCCAGATCTTCCATCACAGACAGCCGCCCCTCATATTTGTTGGTTTCGATAGACTTGAGTTTCTCCTGGTAGTCTTCCGGCAGCCCGTTCTGCTCCGCGCCCATCACAATAACCTGCAACACACAAGACACTTCGTTTCTACAGCTGAGACTGTAATTCTATTTATCAAACTCTATTTATGATGATAGTCAAAAGTCTATTCTGGTCATTTAGAAAAGTAAGCAGTAAGCGGACAGCATATCGGTTTTGTGTCCAAATGTCTTTACGTCTAAAAGCAACAAGTGATGATTATTTTTATTTATTTATTTATAAACTTTTTCAAAGCATTAACAGAAAGCTTCATACAAGTAAAGTTATAACTTTTTCCTCATAATAACCCTGTCCACTGAATATTAAGACAACAATGCCAATAGTAATAATAATAATAACAACTAACAAATTAAAATACAAAATGGTAATTAAACTTTAAATAATGTACTCATTTACAAATGACAAGAAGTGATTATTATTTAACTGACCTTTTTTTCTTTACATTTTACAACATTTTAGCTTTTAGATTTTTCTTTTTTGTTTGAATTACTTTTATTCCTCTTCTGCAAGTCATTTAGATAAAAACATCTGCTAAATGCATAAATGTAATGTACACTTCCATTCAAAAGTTTTGTGTGGGTTTTAAAGATGTTTTTGAAAGTCTTTTATGCTCACCAAGGCTGCATGTATTTGATCAAAAATAAAAGTAAAAATAGTAATATTGTGGAATATTACAATTTAAAAGAAATATTTTCTGTGTGAATATATTTAATATAAAATGTAATTTATTCCTGTGATCAAAGCTGAATTTTCAGCATCATTACTCCAGTCTTTAGTGTCACATGATCTTTCAGAAATCATTCTAATAGGATGATATGCTGTTCAAGAAACATTTATTATGAAATGAAATATTATATAACAGAAAGTCCAAAAGAACAGAATTTATTTGGAATAAAAAATGTACAAATGAATAATTTAATGCTTTATTGATGGATAAAAGTATGAATTTCTTTTTGAAAAAAACTGATCCAAAACTTTTGAATTATAGTGTAAATGTAAATTTTAGATTAAAATGTAAGTCAATGTACAAAAGGATATCTTAGATCCTGTCACCAGAAACTTTTTTTTTTAAATGAATCACCATAACTTTTTCATCATTACATGATCATGCAATGTCACAAACTAATTTTTACATGTTTTACAAATTGTTTTATGTGCATGTAACAAGAACAGTGTAAATGCTCTGGATAGCAGAGATGTATTCATAAAGCCACAACAAGCACAAGTTTTGGTTGCCTAATTCGTCTACTAAAAGTAATATGTCCAATGGATAAAAATATAAAAAGGTTATTTTGTGGCAGAGACTCTAGTATAAAAATGATATTCCAGATGCTTCGGTTTGATGTGTTTTTGTTGTGAAGGGCAGTATCACAGACCCAGTTGCTGGCGGTGCTCTATTGTCTCATACTCACAAAGCCAGCCGGGGTAAATGCCAGAAAAAAACACCACAACATTGTCCTTTCCCAGCAGCACAAATAACAAACTCATTGAGTTTTGAAGGATGATATCAGATTACTCTGTTTAGAGAAGCACAAGTTCTGTTGTTTTAATTGCTATAATCGACACAGGGAAAACAGAATCGGCTTCGTTCATTTATCATTTAACTCCCCTCTTAATTCGGACATTTTCGTATCTTTCAATGATTCAGAGAAATGATGAGAGTCAGTAAATGACGATGCACATTGTATTTTTTGGGTACGCACAGTTCTTAAGTAGATGTCAACTGGTGGGACAAAACATTGGATCAGTCAAAATATTCAACTTGTGCATTAAATGCAATTAAATAGTTTATAAAATCAACAAAAACGAAACAAAGTTCGAATAAAAACGTGGAAGGATTACTTTTTCGGGATTCAAAATCTCAGGTACCATTCACTCCCATTATAAAGCTTGGAAGAGCCGGGATTTTTTTTAACATAACTCCGACTGTGTTCGGCTGAACGATGAAATGGATGGCTTGAAGGTGAGTAAATTATGGGATTATTTTAATTTTTGGGTGAACTAATCCTTTAATGTTGTCATCTCGAGGCCCCCAAATTGAGAAGCACTGAGCTAAACTAAAGTCCTGATAAAAGCCTCATGTTTGTTGTGATGCATTACAGGAAGCAGGAGACTGTACCTTTAGGTAATGTGGTGAAGGTGGCGCATACACACAGCTGTTCATCATGTATGTCCGACAGTGGAGATCCTGGTCATCGGTGGACACAAACACCTCCATTGGGCTGTAAGTCCCCATTTTCACATTCTCCTGACTGCAGAAGAACATTCAGCACAAATGAGGACCTCCGTCATTCCCTTACTTCTGCTTACTTCTAATTAGGTATATGCAACATTTTTACACAATGATCTCTCATTTGTCTTTATAAAGTGTGTGTTGTGGGTTTGAAAGCTCCTACCGGTCCAAGGACTCAATGTCGGTCACGTTCATCCTCCACACGACCCCCCACACCTCGTCACCTGGGCTGGGCTCGATGGTCGCGACACCCCCTCGCCAGCGCTGACTCGCTACCCCTTTATGGTTGCCAAAGACCAGTTTGTAGTCCTAGAGGAGTTGTCAAGTTTCAGATTCACTGATCTATATGAATTACGTATGATATTATATAGATCAGTGGATTGAAAGGTTTACACATGGATTTAAGATGTGTTCTCAAGTAGACGAGAGACACGTACTCGTTTACACCTGGTGTTTTAATCCGTCTCATTTGTCCACTGACTTCATCGATCTAATCGATCTTATGGACAAAATAACTATGCTTAATTTACATGTGAACGCATACAGAGATGATGGAAAAACATACAGAGAACATCAGCTTTCGTTTCTGCTCTGACAGTCGCAAGACCAGCCGAACGCTGTGAGTGTGTGTTCGAAATCAGGAACGGTGAGAGAACATTGTGCTTGGTGTGTTTTTCAGCTTCAAACCGAACTTGGATCTTCAGCCGACAAAGTTTAAATCCCGTCTGGCTAGAGCGCTTCCCATAATGTTTAGGCATTTGGTCAGCAGATACGTATA